AAGAAAGGATAAATCTTTAGTGAGACAAATCTCTCTACTTCTTCAATACAGTTCCTCTTTTCTATGTTTCAAAGTATGAAACTCCAAAAATTACATGTAGAGAAGGGATATTACAAGAAGAACCAAGGCTCAAATCTGATATCATCTTTTCCGAACTCAGACAGATGACATTAAAAAAAAAGATATGAAGTGACCGTATTGGCAAATTGCTCAGAGTTGGAATAGGTAGAGAAGGACCTGCTCTGTGTTTTCTTCTACCAAGGATTTCTTGAGAACCAACATATTTGGGTGGTAGGACTTGTCACTCTTGAGGGTACAGAGTATGTTTCTCCGGCTGGAATGATCTTCCCATACTTGTTCAGCGTAGGGTCTTCTCCAGAAAATCTCAGTCTTGGCTAAATGCTCCCTTAGCACCTTATGCATACACATAGCACCTTTTTTAAGATGATGGAAATGTACTAGAATGACTGTGGTGATAGTTGCTTATATCTGTCAGTACTAAAAACCATCCAATTACATACTTAAATGGAAAATTGTTTGGTATGTGACCTCTATCTCAATAGGGCTGTTAAAAATGTTGATTGAAAAAAAAGAAATAGAATGAGTTTTATAGCACAATACCATTTAAGGAAATTAAATACCACACACATTGCATTTTAATTTTTTTTATTTTTAAATTTTATTTATTTATTTATTTATTTAAAGATTTTATTTATTTACTTGACAGACAGAGATCACAAGTAGGCAGAAAGGCAGGCAGAGAGAGAAGGGGAAGCAGGCTCCCTGCTGAGCAGAGAGCCAGATGTGGGGCTTGATCTCAGGACCTTGGGAGCTGAAGGCAGAGGCTTTAACTCACTGAGCCACCCAGGTACCCTCACATTACATTTTTAAAGGGATAAACACATCTAAAATACACATATCTAAAATACATTAGCTATAATAGAGAATGTACCTATGATGGGGGAAGGAAATAGGAATGGAAGTAGGAGGTCAAGGGGAAAATAATAAAACAAAACACAAACTGTCCTTGCATGGACCAATGATGATAGTGTGCCATAACTGAGGAGTTTGATTAGCTCAGCTATATGCATCTGCTATTTAAGGAGAAGTCCACTCTCTCCCCACAAGAACAGCTTAAGGTGCTGGTGGGACAAAAAGGAAGAAATAAACAGTAGACAGCTGGAAAAAGTGGTGACAAAGAATAATCCAGAGAACAAAAGTTTTCAAACATTTTGGTCTCAGGACTTTTTTGTATTCTTAAAAAATTTTGAGGACCTCCAAGAGGTTTATGTGAGTTATAGCTATTATGTGGGTTATAATCACATTAGATACTAAAACTGAGAAATTTTAAAAACGTTTTAAAATAGGGATGCCTGGGTGACTCAGTCGTTAAGTGCCTGTCTTCGGCTCAGGCCATGATCCTAGGGTCCTGGAATCAAGTCCCACATATGGCTCCCTGCTTAGCAGGGAGCATGCTTCTCCCTCTGCCTGCTCAGCCTGCAGCTCCCCCTGCTTGTACTCTCTCTCTCTCTGACAAATAAATAAATAAATCTTTAAAAAATGTTTTAAAATAGCAATAAATCTAGTACATTTTTAAATTTTTAAAAATTTTTTATTTTTAAAGATCTTATTTATTTATTTGACAGACAGAAATCACAAGTAGGCAGAGAGGCAGGCAGAGAGCCTGATGTGAGGCTCGATCCCAGGACTTTGGGATCATGACCCAAGCTGAAGGCAGAGGCTTTAACCCACTGAGCCACTCAGGCATCCCAGTACATTAAAAAAAAAAAAAGATTTTATTTATTTATTTGTCAGAGAGAGAGAGAGAGCGAGCGAGTGAGCTCAGAGTGGAGAGGGTCAGAAGGAGAAGCGGACTCCATGCTGAGTAGGGAGTCCAACTCGGGACTTGATTCCAGGACCCTGGGATTATGACCTGAGCTGAAGGCAGGTGCTTAGCCGACTGAGCCATCCAGGCATCTCTAAATCTAGTATATGTTAACATATTTTTTAATGAAAAATATATATTAATTGAAAATGAAAAAAATTAAGGCATTAAAATTAGGGGGAATGGTAGTGTTACTGACTGAACATTGGTGTCCCTCCAGATTCATATATTAAAATTCTGTCTCCAATGTGATGGTATTAAGAGGCAGGGTTTTGGGGAGGTGATTAGGACTGGATGAGATCCTGAAGACAAACCCTCATGAATGGGATTACTGACCCTATGGGTGAGGAGAGAGACTGCTGCTCCGTGCTCTCTGCCATGTGAGGAAACCACCAGAAGGTGACAATCTGTAGCCCAGGAGAGGCTTCTCACCAGAACTCAACCTTGCTGGCACCCTGATATCAGGACTTCTGGCCCAGAACTGTGAGAAATAAATTTCTGTTGTTTAGAAGCCACCTAGTATATGGTATTCTTGTTATAGCGGCCTAGGCAAAAATAGCATTGTTTTACATTTTTGCAAATCTCTTTAATGTCTGGCTTAATAGAAGACAGCTGGGATCCTCAATCTGTTTCTGCATTTAGTTTGCTGTGATATGTTTTTTCAGTTGAAGAAAATCTGGCCTTATAGAGTTATGCAGTCAGAAAAGAAATATTTTATTATTTTATTTATATATTTTTTTTTAGAGAGAGAGAGAGAGAGAATACATCAGGTGGGGGGAGGGGCGGAGGGAGAGAGAGAATCTTAAGCAGGCTCCATGTCCAGTGTGAGCCTGACAAGGGGCTCAATTCATGAGCCTGAGATCGTGACCTGAGCCGAAATCAAGAGTCTGATGCTCAACTGTCTGAGTCACCTATAGTCACCCAGAAAAGAAATATTTTAATAGGTTTTTCAGATATATCATGTGTGAATATATCATGTAGCTTATTAGAAAAGTTACTTGTGAGTGAATGAGAATGATAAAGGCAAATATTGTTTTAGTGTTATTTTAAAAATAGTTTTAATCTCATGGTAATTTGAGAACCGCCGCCATAGAGAGCTGATAATGAAGCAACAATCAAGGAGTGATATCATCAAAAGGCGGAAGGAATTAAAACTGAGAAGACTGAGAAACAAACCCTCGATTGTTCCTATGTTCGGAAGATAGAATAAGTGAGGCTGGCAAAGGAAATTATTCGTGATTTTGGATTCTAAGAGCTATTTCTGTAGCCTCACAGGCTATGTGAGTGGGGAAGCCAACTGCAAGGATTCAAAGAGAACGTGAAATAAGGAAGCAGAAGTGGCTCCTGTAGACAATTAAGAGGCAGATTGAGAAAGGAATAAGGGATGAATGATCATAATTAGGAGGCAGAAGAACCAGCTGAAGGTTAGTGTGTAAAAGGACTGAGGGACCATGTGCTTCTTCATAGGCAGAGTAGAGAGAAAGGGATGAAACTGAATGTGTTGGAAAGGAATTATGGAAGAAATGATTTTTGTAAAAATATTGAACCATTGTTGTCATTATGTCATAGACCTGAAATAAGATATAAGGCTATATGTCAATTATATCTCAATTAATAAAATAATTTTTTTTAAAAGATTTTATTTATTTATTTGACAGAGAGAGATCACAAGTAGACAGAGAGGCAGGTAGAGAGAGAGAGAGAGGGAAGCAGGCTCCCTGCTGAGCAGAGAGCCCAACGCGGGACTCGATCCCAGGACCCTGAGACCATGACCTGAGCCGAAGGCAGCGGCTTAACCCACTGAGCCACCCAGGCGCCCCTAAAAAAATAATTTTTGACAAAGTGGGAGATGATCAAGTCAAGAGCAATGGATTTGGAGGTGCAGAAAGGAGCCTTTTCTCCACTGGAGAGTGGAGAGGAAGAAAGTCTAGGTGAACAAGAAGAAATGGTAAACTGGAGAGAACAGAAAGTAATGTTTGCCATGAATAGGTTCAAACTGATTGCTTTAAAACTGGGATTTGAGAAACATATTGTTGGTTCAGTGTTTTACTTCCTATTTTCAGTTAGGCTTAGCAGAGAAAACCAAGCCTGCACTCCCTGCTTCACTCTTATATTCCTTGCATCTAGTATAGTGCCTGCACATATTCAATGATCAATAAATATTTGTTGGTTGAATCAATCAATATACAATCTTATACATTCAAGGTCAGAATTCAAGTAACATCACTGAAGCATTATGGTAAGAAATGTTACTCCCCAAATGCTCCCAGATCACCTTTTTTTTTTTTTAAAGAAATCAGAACAAAGAAAGTAGTAGAAATAAAAGAAGACTAATCTAAAGTAGCTATAGAACAGAACAGTCTGCAGATAAGTCATGTAGCCAGATTCCATAAACGATAATAAAAATCTCAATAAGCAAACAAAAGAGCAAGCATAAATGAAATCAGTTAACCCTTAACTACCCTGCTTCCTCTGTGTACCTCTCCCTAATACTCATTTTTATTTTTTAATTTCAATTACCCTAATATTTTTTATTCTTATTTTTGGGCTGGAATCTCACCCTTAAGCACAAATTAAATATTGCTTGTACTTGTGACTTAAGAAATGAAAGGCCAGGTACAATTGTAATCTATCGTTTCTACATCTTTGAAGACCTTCATGGGCAAGTGTTGTCCATACAGCGGTAGCACTGGCATCATTGGGAACTCATTAGAAATGCAGAATTTTTCAGGATCCAACCCAGACCGAAATCACGATCTGCATTTTAATAAATGCCCAAGTGACTCATATCACGTTCAAGTTTGAGAAGCATTGTTGTAGATGATAAAAAGACAAGGATCAGGCACCTGGATGGCTTAGTCAGGTAAGTGTCTGCCTTTGGCTTAGTTCATGATCCTGGAGTCCAGGATTGAGACCTGCATTGGGCTCTCCACTCAGCGGTTAGGATTAGTGGGGAGTCTGCTTCTCCCCTGACCCTCCCCGCTCTCATCCTTTCTCTCTTTGAAATAAATAAATTAAATCTTAAAAAAAAAAGATAAGGATCATTCCTGAGGATCTTATATACAGGATAACAAAGACAGTTCTAGAAAGACAAGAGAATTTTTAAAAACCTCACCATTAACAGTCAAATGAGACATCAGCTCCTTCATGTCTTCTTCTGTGAGCTCGATCCCCTCACTTACTAGAAATTTGTCTAAGTCCTGGATATCAATCACCTCTCCTTAGAAAAATTAAGAAATAAATTTTAGAAACATTACAGAACTATATATAAAGGATAAAAAAATGCCATCTGTACTTATATATATGATTGTCCACATAGGCCCAGAATTAACAGTAGAGTCAGAAAACAGTCCTGTGTCAGGGTGCCTTCTGACACAGTTGGTTAAACATCCAACTCTTGGTTTTGGCTCAGGTCCTGATCTCAGGGTCCTGAGATAGAGCCCTGTGTCAGGCTCTGTGTTCAGTGCAGAGTCTGCACCTGGAGCCTGCTTGAGATTCTTCTTTTGCCTGCCCACTCACCCAGCTCTCTCTCATATGAATAAATAAATCTTAAAAAAAAAAAAAAAAAAAGAAAGAAAGAAAAGATGGGCGCCTGGGTGGTTCAGGTGATTAAGCCTCTGTTTTCAGCTCAGGTCATGATCTCAGGGTCCTGGGATTGAGCCCTGCATCGGGCTCTCTGCTGGGAAGGGAGCCTGCTTCCCCCTCTCTTTTTCTGCCTGACTCTCTGCCTACTTGTGATCTCCCTCTCTGTCAAATAAATCAATAAAATCTAAAAAAAAAGAAAAAGAAAAAGAAAAAGAAAAAGAAAAGTCTTATGTCTTTAATTCTGGTGGCTACAAAAAACAAAGTATACCATGGGTTAGGAACTGACTGGGATTTATTATAAAATCCATAGCAAATTAAGCTGCATACAGGGATTTGGTTTTATTTTTATTCTTCCTCCTACCCTACTTGAAAAATTCAGGGTTTTCTATAGAGCAGCTTTTTTTTTTTTAAAAGATTTTATTTATTTGACAGACAGAGATTACAAATAGAGAGGCAGGGAAGACAGACAGACAGATAGACAGAGAGAGAGAAAGGGAAGCCGGCTCCCTGCTGAGCAGAGAACCTGATGCAGGGCTCCATCCCAGGACCCTGGGATCATGACCTGAGCCGAAGACAGAAGCCTTAACCCACTGAGCCACCCAGGCACCCCTCTATAGACCAGGTTTTAAAATTTTATTTTCATTTAAAAATATTTGTTTGGAGTTTGCTTCTCTGATCATTATGCATTCAAGATTTTTATTCATCTCAACACAGAAGTAATTTTCTCTCATTCATCATAAAAACAATACAACATTAAAGATTAACAAAGGGGGAAAAATACAATTCTACTACTCTACCACAAAAACCATTGCAGTTTTTTATATTCCATTTCTGGTCTTTGACAATAAGGCTGTACTTTCATTGTGTGGAAATCTAATATATACACAATTCTGTATTTTGCTTTTCCAACCTGATATTACATCATTAACATATTTCCAAAGTGCCACATAATCTTTATAGTTGACATTTCAACACATGTTTCTCCACTAGCCTAACAGGCTGTGGAGTATATACTAATTCCTGTACTGTTAGATAACTAGGCTGTTCCAAGTTTCTCTGAAGGGCTTTAAGCAGAGTTTTTTTTCCTTTTTATTCAGCTTAACTATTTCCAGAGGATAAATTCCTGGGAGTGAGGTTTGTGCGGGAAAAGGAATAGTTCTTTGACCCTTAATACCTAGCCCTATGTTGAAAAACTCTTTTGGGGAAAGTTTCAGAGAATGTCATGGGCACTGATATATTAACACACATTAATTACTGTTTACCCAAGTTCAGAAGCACCCATAAAAATGGAACACATATGAAAGAATTTAAATATATATGAAGGGGAAATATTTTTCTCCACCAAAATATTGTATTTGCAATATAGTATTGCAAAATATTAAGATGTTATTTATAGTATCATTTCATCATAGCTTGCAACTTACCCCTGAACCCACTGATAGCATCCATCACATCATTCAGACCAACTGTTCTATCACCTGTAAGGCAAGGGAAATAAACTTCAGAATCAGATAAACTGATGTTACTGAGACCCTGACACTATGAAGACCAGAAGTATTCAGCAGTTTCTCCCCAAATTTTTCTTAGAATGTTACAGACTTCTTAGAGATAATAGTGCTATCTTAGAAATGAAGAAAGTTTTCAATCTGTAACAAATCATTCTTATATCTCCCTTTTTTTTGCTTTAGATTAAGGAGTGATTTGTTACAGTTAAGTATAGGGAGACAGGACAAATGAACCTGACCCTGAGTATTTTTTTAATGTAGTCAGTTAATCAACAAATATTTAGGGGGTAGTTTCTATGTGCCAGGCACTTTGCTAGGCTTTGGGGATACAAAAGTAAACCAGCTGCCAGAGTTCTTGCTGTCAAGGAGTGTGAATCTAGCGGAAGGATACAGACAGCATGTAAACAAAACAAAAAGGATCATTTGAGATACTATTGTTAAGATGTTATCAAAATAAAATAGGGTTGCATAATAAAGAGCAATGGTAGGATGCATTAGACAGGGAAATCAGGGAAGACCTCTCTGAGGAGAGTCTATTTGGGTTGAGGCCTGAATAATGAGAGGAGGATGGTCATGGAAAGGACTAGGAGAGGAAAAAACAGCACGTGTGGCAGCCCTAAGATGGGGATGAAACTGAGCTATTTACCTGGGCTGTCTAAGCTTCCTCACCCAGTATCAGTTGCTGCTTTTTGTTGTAACTGAGGGGCAGAGAAAAGGCTGGGGCGACAGGGGCCAAATCATGAAGGTAACTGTTGGCCCCGATGATAAAGTTGGGGTTTTATTATGTTGCAGTACAATGTCATCGGAGGGTGTGAAGAAGGGGAGTAATTTAACCTGACGTCAGCTTTCAGAAGCTCACCCTGGCTGATGTGTGCAGGATGGGGAAACCGGAGGAACGGGGACGAGACAGGAGATGGTTTCAGTGGCCCAGGAAAGAGATGCTGTTCTCTTGGGCTATGGCTGCAGCAGTGGGGACGCAGATGAATGGATTTAGGACATATGTTTCAGGTAGAGCCGAGATTTAAATGTGGGATATAAGGGAAAGGAGGAATCAAGGAAGAAAACTATTCATCTCCCCTCACCCGCTGCCTTCTCACGCAGCAGAGTAGAAGGGATGCCATGACTGAGAGGGGGAGGGCTTAATCCTTTTGAGGGGGATTAATTACTAATCCATTAAATTCATGATGCCTTTTGGATATCCACGTGGAGATATCAAAATAGCTAGTTTGAGATACCATTCCTGACTGAGGGAGGTTGAGTGGGAGACAGAAATTTGCTCTGGTCCGCTTCAAGAAGGTATCTGACCCGGTGAGGCTGGAGGCAGTCTCCTAGGAAGAGGACTGAAGAAGAGTGGAATGGGAGTGAGGAAGTGGAGACAGAAAGGAGCCGTAAGTTTGGGATTTCTTTTTTTGAACCACAGCTGACACACAATGTTGCATTAGCTTCAGGCGAACAGCATGGAGATTTGACAACTTTGCACATTATGGTGCGTTCACCGCAAGGGTGGCCACGACCAGTCACCACACAACTTGAAGCAATGACAACGTTCTGAGAGGTTCTGCTGTGAAGAGAGCTAAGAGGTGGAGTGGTAGCAGCAGGGGACCAGGGGAGGACGAAAGCATGATCTGCAGGGCAGTGGCATCTACGGAGAGAGAGAGCAGAGAGGGAGACCCTGAGGACGTAGGAGAGAAGGGGAAACTGGAGCAGTCCAGTCCTGGAGGAGGCAAGGGGAAATGAGATCCGGGGCACCAGCGGCAGGGCCCGCCCACCACAGGGGCAGAGATGGCCTCTAGGCGGCGGGGAGCTAGAGCGGGAGTTCTGCCCTCCGCTGGGCTCTAGCGCCTGCTCGGTAACTCGAGTTCATCACATTCAGTTGTGGGATGGAATAATGTCCCTGCAATCTGGATGGTGAGTTGGTCCACACACCTGTTTTCTAAGTGGAAGAATTAAAATTATGAATGTCAGAAGGAAAAGAAAAAATTCTGGGTTGGTTATGGCAGGGGCCTTTTCAGTTCTATTTTAGTAAAATTATAAAAAATACCTGCCTGTAATATAGGAAGGGGAACCAGGTTCCGTGGCTCAGTGTTCTGCTTCCATCTACGTGATTTTAGAGCTGCAAGCCAGCTTTTCAACTCTTTCCTTGTGGGTGTGTATGTACATTTAAAAAAAAAATAATCTCCAGCTACTCTGAGCTATCTGCCCGTGACGTCTAAGCTTCTTCACACAATATCAGCTGCTGCTTTTGTTCTGGTCACAAGGTGGCACATATTTTGAATGGGCTTCTCCAATTTTCCCCATAAGCTCACTTTAGTGGGCAATTTTAACTTTCTAGAAAGGGAGGTTTTTCAGGCATTCCTGTATTGTGTTACAGCAGGAATATCTGCAAGTAAATAAACTGGAATGATAAAGGTCAGAGAGTGTGTAGATGAAACAGAGATTTTGGGGGTGATAAAGTATTAGTATTAGTAAAGTATTAGGTGAGCAATTAAAGAGATGGGAGTAAAAGATGATTAAAATTAGAGAGGTCAAGGAATAGGAGGCCAGTGTGTTGCATGGGTGACTTATATCAGGAATTAATTAGGATTTAATCAGGATTTCTTAACCTGGGGTCTATGGACTCTCTAATGATAGAATTCAGGGAGTCCTTGAGCTTGAATGGGAAAAAAATACAGCTGACCCTTGAATGACATGGGTTTGAACTGTGGGGGAACAATATTATGTGGGCTTTTATGATAAATACAGTACAGTTCTGTAAAAGTATTTTTTCTTCCTTCTTTTTTCTAGCTTACTTTATTGTAAGAATACAGTATATAATACATACAACATATAAAATACGTGTTGATTGACTTACATTACTGGTAAGGCTTTGGTCAATAGTAGGCTATTAGTAGTTAAGTTTTGGAGGAGTCAAAAGTTATATGCAGGATGGCTCAGTCAGTTAAGTGTCTGCCTTCAGCTCAGGTCATGCATGGTCCCAGGATCCTGGGATAGAATCCTACATCGGGCTCCTTGCTCAGCAGGAGGCCTGCTTATCCCTCTCTCTCTGCCCTTCACCCTGCTTGTGCTCATGCGTGCTCTCTCTCAAAGAAATAAATAGGTAAGAATATAATGAACATAGGGGCCCCTGGGTGGCTCAGTTGTTAAGCAGCTGCTTTCGGCTCAGGTCATGATCCCAGGGTCCTGGGATTGAGCCCCATGTCAGGCTCCCTGCTTGGCGGGAAGCCTGCTTCTCCCTCTGCCACTCCCCCTGCTTATGTGTTCTGTCTCTCTCTTGCTGTGTCTCTCTTTGTCAAATAAATAAATAAATAAAATCTTAAAAAAAAAGAATATAATGAACATAGATAAGAGCATAATGATGCCTTAACACTTACCATCAGTTGGTACTTGGGTCATTATTTCCTCAAGGTCATCCTCTTTGAGTTTAATCCCCATGTTTTCCAAGACGGATTTCACTTTTCTGAGTTTGACCCTTGGTCCTTAAGAAAGAGGGGCATGAAATAATTTCATGAATATTGGTGCTTAAGACTGAAGAATGCTAATCATGGTCATGCATCATAAATCCCAACTGGAGGGTAAACCACAAGGGCATAAAGAAACTATTAATACATATATATCTCTCAGATTTAGGTAGGTCTGTTGAAAATAGGAAAAAATTGAGAAAGATAACCTTTGAGAAAAAGGTAAATAGTAAACAGTATTTACCTTTATGGGGAGGGATGAGATTGGTGAGAGGTAGAGGACTCTCATTTTTAAAAAAATTCATATATAATTGACATATAAACATTTTCATATGTATATGTATAGCTTCATATGTACAACATAATGATTTAGTATTTGTATATATTACAGTGTGATCATCACAGTAATTCTTGTTAACATCCATCACCATACAAAGTTACAGTTTTTTTTTTTCTGGTGGTGAGAACTTTTAAAATCTGTTCTCTTAGCAACTTTGAAATATACAACATGATATTACTATCTATAGTCACCAAGCTGTACATTAGATCCCCATGACCTGACTTACACTTCTTTTATCTGTTTTCCAACTGGTAGAACTGGATAGTTTTTCTTGTAGTATTTGGTGCTTTAACAATATATTTCTAATTAAAAATTAAAAATAAAATTGTTTACAGCAGAATTAGTATAAGGAGTAGAGATAGGATATTTTCCTTAATACCCACCCAGGGAATTTCAGTTTTTTTTTTTAAGATTTTATTTATTTATTTGAGAGAGAGGGAGTGAGAGAGAGCATGAGAGGGGAGAAGGTCAGAGGGAGAAGCAGACTCTCTCCAGAGCTGGGAGCCTGATGTGGGACTTGATCCTGGGACTCTAGGATCATGACCTGAGCCGAAGGCAGTAGCTTAACCAACTGAGCCACCCAGGCACACTTTTTTCTTTTTTTAAAGATTTATTTATTTGACAGAGAGAGAGCACAGCAAGGGGAGCAGCAGGCAGAGGGAGGAGGAGAAGTAGGTCCCTGCTGAGCAGGGAGGTCTATGCAGGGCTCAATCCCAGGACCCTGGGATCATGACCTGAGCTGAAGGCAAATACTCAACTGATTGAGCCAACCAGGCGCCCTTCAGTTTTCCATGAGAGGTGAACAGGGAGGAACTGGCACGTCTACTTACAGTTGAAACAACAACCAGTCTGTACAATTCTACCTAGAAAACAGTGTTAGAACTTCCTATAGTAAGTTGATACTTCTCCTTATATCCCCAAATGTCAATGTACCCAAAGAAAAATGGCAAGTTGTAAGTCCATAACGATGGATCAAAAAATTGGCAAGAAGCAGGGGTGCCTGGGTGGCTCAGCTGGTTAAGCACTGGACTCCTGATTTTGGCTCAGGTCATGATTTTGGGGTCATGAGATCGAGTCCTCCATCGGGCTCTGTGCTCAGTGGAGTCTGCTTGAGATTCTCTTTCTCTTTCTCTCTTCCCCTCCTCCCACTTGTGCAGACAAGCTCTCTCATTAAATAAATAAAATCTTAAAAAAAAAAAACGGCAAGAAGCAAAGTTGGAATGTTTAATAGCAAATCGTAAACATGAGGATTTTATTTTTATTTGCTCTTTCACTGTGTTTCTCACTCACCATTGAGGGCCTTCACGCCTTTTAGCAACCTGTTTTTATATATTTTTCCATCAGCTGTAAGACAAGACACAATTAAGAACAGAGGTTAAATGAAGGGAAGATTAACAAAGACAGCACAAGACAATACAACATCTATAATTTCAGGGGGGAAAAACCCTTCAGATTTCTTCAGGATTTTATTTATTTTGCCCTCAAATAAGAATGAAATCAAAGATAAAGCTTTCACTGATATAAATCTATTTGTGGTTGAATTTAAAAGTCTTTATCTCCTTATTTCTCCCCCTTTCCTTCCTACTCTTACTCCCCTGGTTTTCCTCTTTCCCTTGGTCATGACTTAGGGGAGGTGATGCTCCCAGGGGGACGGGATAATTTAGTCTTGATGGTGGGGACCTGTGAAAGATGTTGCCAGTTTCCAATATTAAAATGTAAGTGACAAGAACAGGATTTCTTCTTTTTTGTGAAACTGTGCTTTCTAAATGTGTTTTACTGGACATACACATAATTTCAGCAGTTTTCACACACAAGCCCATAAATCTGGGTTTCAAAGATGTGCTAAATACTCACCATGAATGGGCAGAGTTTTCATCAGCTGCTTCTTTTCCTCATCAGTGATTACCAGTCCCATTTTCCTCACCACATTGCTCAGATTATTGACATTAACTTTCTCTCCTTTGGAAATATGGAAATTGTTAACATATAAGAATTTTAGGAATGGATGAAGGATTTCAAATGATGAAAAAGATGACCTATGGGCTATAGGCTTAATTAGAAGAGCAAATTGACAATGAAACTTGTTAACTTATATAGATTCTGAGTACATGCATGTGTATAGATCATGTCAAAAATAAAATTTATACTTTTAATACAAGCAAAAAGAAAAGCACATATAATCCTAGGTATAAGTCAAACGCCAATATATTGCCTGAATTATGGGGTCTTTTGACACAGTGATCATGTTTCCTGGATGGCCTACAAAAGCTTCACCTTGGGATTGAACAGAGTTCCTCTATAGTTTTGTTGTTTAAACAATGGTGAAGTAGAAAATATTATTGGCCCAAACTCCCCAAAATATAGGTCTATACAGGAAAAATACCAAAGCAAACTGTAAGGTTATAAAACAAACATTTAATCATTAAATTTGTAGGGATTCATCTTAACATGTCAGTAATAGTCTGAAGGGAAAACTTCTACTTAAAAACATTTTTTTTTTTTTTAAATAAAGCATTAGGGTCTTAGTTAATAATGAATTCCCTTTTTACCACAACTTACCTGTAAAAGCTTTTGCATCATCCATCACCACATTCAAATCAACCATTTTATTCTCTGTAAGAAAAGACAATTTAGGCACAGAGACCAACCTTAGACTTAGAAAAATGATATGAAAAATTTAAGTTGAGGGGGGTGTCTGGGTGGCTCAGTTGGTTGGGCGTCTGCCTTCAGCTCAGGTCATGATCCCAGGGTCCTGGGATTGAGCCTTGCATTGGGCTACCTGCTCAGTGGGGAGCCAACTTCTCCCTCTCCCTCTCCCTCTCCCTCTGCTGCTCCCCCTGCTTGTGTTCTCTCTCTGTCAAATAAATAAATAAAATCTTAAAAAAAAAAAAGAAAAATTTAAGTTGTAATACAAAGGGTTCCAACTCAGCAGTTACAGGTGGGGGCAGCAGATGTTTGCTGGTGACAGTGGCCTCCCTTGGCCACACCTGCCAACTTCCTATTAGTTGAGAATAGGAACCCTGAATTAGGCAAGAAGGACAATTTGTTTATTTTGGTTTGGCATGTGCTGACTGTGCTGGAAGATGTGCTGTCTGGTTCTCTTAGAAGTTGTTTTTCTTCAAGTTTTTTTTTTTTTTTTCAAAGATTTTGTTTATTTATTTGAGAGAGAGAGAGAGCATGAGGGGGGAGGGGAGGCAGAGGGAGAAGAAGACTTCCTGCTGAGGAGGGAGCCTGATGTGGGGCTCAATCCCATGACCCTGAGATCATGACCTGAGCAGACACTTACCCAACTGAGCCACCTAGACACCCCTTGCATCAGGTTTTTAATGGGAAACCACTGGCTCTATGTTTGAATCTAAGAGTTCTCTAACTCAGGAACTTTTAGCCTGGGACTCACCCTTTAGCAAATTCTCTCTAATGAATTCTACCATCTTTGCCTCTGTGACATTTTTATCCAGCTAAATTGGTCTTATTCAGTCATTGATGAAACCTTATCTTATTAAAAAAAAAGTATACAAGAAAGGAAAGGAAGGAAGGCAGATATAGGAAAGAAATATGGCAAAATGGTAACATTTGTTAACTCTAGCCAGTGGATACACAAGTGTTTGTCATAGTGTTTGTTTTCTGTTAGATGTTTGAAATATTTCATAAGTTTTTCAAAGAGATTAAAAAATAGCTTTATTTTCAGAAGACCTCATAGAGAGGCCCTAAGATTTGCCCTGTGGTACACTGGTTATCTGAAAGACTTACCATCAATAGGCAGGTGGTTCAGTAAGTCCTGATAGTCCTCTTTCTTAAGCTGAACCCCCATGTTCTTTACAATAGTGTTCAGGTTCTTGACACTGACTTTTTTCCCTTAGGAAAGAAGAAGATGTAAATAATTCAAGTAAGTCCAGGAAGTGGATGATTCCAGCCTCGAGTGTGCACCCACTGTAAGCACAGTGGAACACTAGCCCTTTGAATGAACCCAGATAGTCAGTGTTGGAGTTGAGAGGAGAAAATGTGCCCTCAACATTGTGCTATAACTTTTAATTGAAATAATCATGGATGAAAAAGAAGAATTAGATAAGTCCGATGAATTGATAAAGATAACCAGAGTAAATGAAATAAAAATCTCAAAGTTGCTGCATATTACTAAGAATAAATTCCTCAAATGTAGTTATACTGAAAGAAGAGTGGTGGGTTATGAGGCGAAGTTCAGTGTCACTAAACCAGTGGAATAATGACACAGCACGATTCTAATCAGAAATCTAAAAAAGCAAATGCAAAGCATAATAAATTTTAGCTGCTGTTCCCATGATTCTTACCTTTGAGAGGCTTCACACTCTCCAGTAATCTCTTCTTATACACCTTTCCATCTCCTGTGAGATAGGGTAAAATTCAAGTCAAAAGAAAAAGAATAAGGAACTCTATAATTTTATAAGACATTTTATATAATTCTAGAAATTTATTCTGTCTCACCCTCAAATAATTATAAAAGGAATGCCCACAACGTGGTCAGTCTATTCTCTAATTGGAACACATGGCAGTAACTGATGCAGGCTACATATACACCCACATATGTGTTTCTTTCTTCTTATTTTTCCCTTCTTGAACTGCACTTCAACCCCTCTGTCTTTCTCTTTTTCTTGCCCATGCTCTAGGCCCATAAGGTATTCATATATGTTTAGCCTGAACAGTAGAGTCTATAAAGGGATTTTCTTAAAAATAGCAATCAACTCAAACAGTAGCATAAAACAATATTTAAGTATATTTTGTTCCTTAAACAAACTTTTCATAAATGGAGGGGAAATTCAACAAGGGCAGAGAACATGGGACATTTGCCAGCCCAATCTATCTCCACAGGTGCTGTCTGTCCCCCCCTTCCTGTGGAAGGAGTGTCTATAGTGTTGACAGAAACAGTGCTTGGCATGTGGCTATAGTTGTCTCCATTATAGTCCATCTGCTTCTTTGTGCATCTCTACCCTGTTCCCCCAGAGCCAATATCCTAAGCATGCTGCAATTCTCAAAACTGGCCCCTTGAGAGCGATCTGGGGGAACGCAGAAATAGGGAGTGGCCACAGCCTTAGGTATATGTGAGGGGAATATGGATGGGCATTGAGCATTTGCTCCCTGCGCTCCTGCTTCTGCCATCAGGAGTATTAGCACCCACCAAGATGTGTAGGCTTTCTCTTGTTCGGGGGACAAGTGGGGACAGGTGTGATAGGGTGAGGGGAAGGACGTCTCCATGGAGGTCCCTGAGAGTGGGCAGGAGGCACAGGTGAAGCACAGGCTGGTCTCTAGGGTCTCTGGGGACAAGCATATGCAGGTTCCCTGGAGATAGAATTTTTGAGAGACAGACTGGTTGGATCACTGACCAATCCGAATCAAATACTGACAGTTTAACATATGGTCCTGGTGGTCCCCTGCTCTCAGGTGTTTATCTTTTAGTTGCTGGATTATGGGGAGATGGGAGGGCTATCAGGGGTAGGACTGAGGATGTGGGGGCACATTCAGGAGGCTACAGAAGAATTTATCTGTGTAGCATTTGAGATATATATCAAAGGGTCCATTGACTGAATGGAAAAGAGAGGAATTTCTCACTTACAAGCTTCTCACTTCCAAACTAAAACACAAGTGACAATAATGGGGTTCTTATGTCTGTACTGCATTTTCCTTAGGGAGTTTCTTAGGGCATTAGACAATTCTCACCCAGAAGCCCACAGAACGACAATTCCCTGAGCACCATGACGGCATGTTAAACACTCACTAGAGACTGGCAGAGTTTTCGACAGCATCAACTGTTCTTTTTCAGTAATCTCAATTCCCATGTTTCTCAGCACATTTTTTAAGTCATTGGCTTCAACTTTTTCTCCTTTGAATAGATGGGAATCATTTCAGGTGACAATATTAAAAAATACAATTATTCTAAACTATGAATGACATAATCCAGTACAGGATTATTTCTAACTGCAGGATGAAGTTGAAATACATGAGCTGATTTCACTTACACAGAGTTATTGTAAAATTCAGTACCTGAAAATTTTCTTTAGTCAAAATAAGAATATAACACTCCTATTCTGCATATGGGTCAATATAGCATGGAGTATAAATGCCTGATGATTTATGATGGTATAATGAGTATACATAATTGTACTGTTAAGGAATATCTCTGTTACTGCTCCATGACCTGAATTATGAGATGGACCGTTCATAGTGTCCATATTTACTGGTGCAAAAACTTCACATTGAGATCCACTGTGTTCGTCACCTGTATTTTGATTCTTTGAACACTAGAGAAATGAACACATGACTGGCCAAAATATTTGAGAGTGCCCACACTTCTAAATCTCTAATGATCTATATTATTGTCAATAAGACAAAATCATCAATAAATAAGTAAAAGAGCAAAGCAAACTTACTAATGATGGCTGAAGGAGGTAAACTACTGCTTTAAAAAAATAATTCTCGGGACGCCTGGGTGGCTCAATTGGTTAAGCGGCTGCCTTCGGCTCAGGTCATGATCCCAGCGTCCTGGGATCGAGTCCCACATCAGGCTCCTTGCTCATCAGGGAGCCTGCTTCTCCCTCTGCCTCTGCCTGCCATTCTGTCTGCCTGTGCTTGCTCTCTCTCCCTCTCTCTCTCTCTGACAAATAAATAAATAAAATCTTTAAAAAAAAAAATTCTCTGCAAGGTGTCAAGATCTCAACTTTATGATGTCTTATACAAGTTCTCACTCACCTGTAAAAGCACTAGCAGCTTCCATCAACGTATCCAAATCAACCTTTTCATCTTCTGTAGGAAAATTCAGGATTTAGATTCAGATGAACATAACTAGACTTGAAAAATTAAATTCTTTTTTTTGAAAATTAAAAAAATTCTTTTAAAGATTTATTTATTTGTCAGAAAGAGAGAGAGAGAGAGAGAGAGCAAGCAAGGGAAGCAGCCAGCAGAGGGCAAAGCAGGCTCCCTGCTGAGCAAGGAGCCGGATGCAGGACTTGATTCCAGGACGCTGGGATCATTACCTGAGCCAAAGGCAGATTCTTAACTGACTGAGCCACCCAAGCACCCCCAATATAGGAGTCATTTTTAAAATAAACTTTTAAAAATATGGCTTTACAAGTTTTTAAAAAGATTTTATTTATTTATTTGAGAGAGAGAGAGAGAGAATGAGAGAAACAGAGCATGAGAGCGGGGAGGGTCAGAGGAAGAATCAGACTCCCCGCTGAGCAGGGAGCCTGATGCAGGACTTGATCCTGGGGCTCCAGAATCATGAGCTGAGTTGAAGGCAATTGCTTAACTAATTGAGCTACCCAGGCATCCTTAAAAGTTTTTCTTAAAGATTATTTATTTGACAGAGAGAGAGAGAGAGAGAGAGAGAGACAGCACAAGCAGGGGAAGCAGTCAGCAGAGGACGAAGAAGCAGACTCCCTGCTGAGCAGGGAGCCTGATGTGAGGCTCAATCCCAGGACCCCAAGATCATGACCTGAACTGAAGGCAGATGCTTAAACGACTGAGCCACCCAGGTGTCCCTTAAAAATTTTTTTAAGTAATCTCTACAACCAACATGGGGCTTAAACTCATAACCCTGAGATCAAGAGTTGCATGCTCTACTGACTGAGCCAGCCAGGTGCCCCTATATAAAATTCCTAAATAAAATTTGGTGTATGGAATCCCAATAATTTTGCATGCTTTTTTTTCTAAAAATTTTATTATAGTTTCAATCCACAGGAACATATAACAAAAAGGTTTGAGCTTTAAGTATATATCCATTCAATTAGCATAACTTCTTTCTTATTTCATAAGCTATTAAAATTTTTTTAAAAAAGATTTTATTTATTTTGAGACAGAGAGAGAAAGAGAGCATGAATGGGAGTGGAGAAGCCAGCTGCAATCAGCATGAACGTGGGGAAGGGCAAATGGAGAGGCAGAAGCAGACTCCCCACTGAGGGGGGAACCCAATGTGGGACTTGATTCCAGGACCCTGAGATCATGATCTGAGCTGAAGGCAGACATTTAACAGCTAAGCCATCCAGGTGCCCCAGCTATTAAAAATCTTTAGAATGTCATGGTGAATGGAATGTTTTGTTTGTTTGAAGTCAGTTCTATCCTAGAGGTCAATTTTCCTTTTTTCAGACCTGGTTCTCTTGCACTTAGTAGAAGGCTGAGATGGGTTAGAGCCACAGTTCTCAAAGTGTGGTCCAGGGACCTCTGGTGTCACCCACCCTTTGCCTTTTACACTTTTTTTTTTTTTTTTATCAGAGAGAGAGAGAGGGAGAGAGAGCAAGCACAGGCAGACAGAATGGCAGGCAGAGGCAGAGGGAGAAGCAGGCTCCCTGATGAGCAAGGAGCCCGATGTGGGACTCGATCCCAGGACGCTGGGATCATGACCTGAGCCAAAGGCAGCTGCTTAACCAACTGAGCCACCCAGGCGTCCCTGCCTTTTACACTTTTGACATTTGCACTGGTGGTGCAAAAGCAGGGATGGGTGAAACTGCTGGCATCTCCCATGAATCAAGGCCATGGCAACAAATGTACTACTAGTCATGGTGTTCTCCATTGTACATACTGGGAGTAAAAGAATGTCAGTTTCGCTTAAGAATGTTCTTGATAATGTAGCAAAAGGTATTGATTTTATTGAATCTTAACCATTGAGAACAAACTTTTCAATATTCTGTACAATGAATTGAGAAGTTTGTATAAAGCATGTCAGTTGCTTAAGAAAATATAATGATTTCTTGAGGAAAAGAACCTGTATGATTGTTTGAGTCTCAAGCAAATTAGCTGCTTTTTTATGAACACCATTTTTAGTTGGAAAAATGGAGAAAATCT